CGTCAAAGCCATTCTTCCTCTTACTTTTAATCAGTTGTCCTGAGGAGTCCTTCTCGATACTCAGGCTTTTCCATTTAGAAATTGATTAAGCCTCTGATAAGAATGAAGCCAAAAAGACTTTAGATGAGGATACTCTATTTTCTTCTATTCCAGGGAAAACTGATTAGCTCTTTTATTCAATTTCAACCTAGGATTTTAAATGAAAACATCCAAAAAATTACAATTTCTTAGTATCTCTGAAACCTAACGGGAATGAGACTTAGATGCTTCCACAAGTATGATCGCCTTCAGTTATTTACAGACAGCTATACTTTCCTGCCTAAGTCTCCTCCATTCGAAATATCCCCAGTTCCTTCTGTAGCACATTCTCTGAGACACATTCTCCCAATTCCCATTCATACTGTTAAGCTGAGTCCTCAGAGTTTAGGGGCTCCTTCTCTCCCTTCAGGATTCTAAGGGTAAACCTAAAAGGTTGGGGATGTCTTTCCAGTACTAATGGTCATCATTCCCTATCCCCAATATTATTCACTAGTTAATATCACCCCCCAATATCAATTTGACGAGTTGATCTCACCTCTGTATCAATTTACCAGTTGATATCTCCCCAACATCAATTAACTAATAAATGTTGCCTAGCTTTACAAAGGATATTTACTGAGGAGTTACAGCAAAGACAAAAATATTTCTTCCAAACTAGAGATATAATCTCCTTTCTTTCTACATACTCACTCTGTCCCTGGGAAGAGGGGACTTAAATTTAAAATGTTTGCCACAAAGCATTTCCCTTCCACAAATTCTGTACATGGCAAAGTCAGTGGGCAAGTCACTCCTTCTTGTAGGACATGGTGACTCAGCTGCCAGGTCAATTCATGCTGAGCTGGGTCAAGCATGTCCTCGGGAGGATTTCTTCCTTGGATTCAACTGCTGCAGTTACCAGATACATATTCTTGGTTTGGAGGCCAGCTCTCTATCCCTTAAAGCAATCTTAACCACGCCAAGCACAATACTAACACAGTGCCTCTCTTGTTGTTTTTGTTGTTAAGTCATTTCAGTTGTGTCCGACTCTTCATGACTCTATTTGGGGTTTTCTTGGCAAAGATACTAGAGTAGTTTGCCATTTCCTTCTTCAGCTCATTTTACAGATAAGGAAACTGAGGTAGACAGTGGTTAACTAACTTGCCCAAGATCACACAGCTAGTAAGTGTCTGGGACTAAATTTGAATTCAGGTTTTCCTGATTCCGGGCCTGGCACTCTATCCACTGCACCACCTAGCTGCCCTAGGATGAATTAGAGGGGAGGTAAAAGGCTATTTTGTAGTAGTCCAGACAAGTGATGATGAAGGCCTGAGCTATAGCTGTGGCTATATAACCGGAGAGAAGGGGAGATGCTGAGATGGAAGAAACCACAAGATTTAGCAATGGATTGGATATGTGGGGGGAGGGAGGATGAGGAGTCAAGAATGATACTGAGGTTGCAAGCCTAGGTGACTGGAAGGATAATAATACCCATAAGAGTAAGATGGAAGCTTGGAAGTGTGGAGAGTTTGGGAGGAAAGGTAATGAGTGCTGTTGGACATGTTGAGTTTGAGACACCTGTGCAACACCCAGTTCAATCACCATGAGACAAATGGTGATGCATGACTGTAGCTCAGAAGAGAGACTTGGGGTGGATGAGTAGATCTGAGAATCACCTACATAAAACTGATAATTGAGCCCATTGGAGCTGATAAGCCAGCATATAGATAAAAGAGAAAGTAGCTGAGCATTGTGCCTTGAGAGATGCTACAGCTGGAAGAAACCTCAGAGACTATCTAATCCACTTGCCTCATTTTACAAATGAGAAAACTGAGGACCAGGACTTAAGCGATATGTTCTACCCTCATTATAATGTAATCTCCTCAAGGAGAGGGGCTGTTTTGTTTTTTATTTTGGACCCCCAGAGCCCAACATAGTGCTTCCTACAGAGTAAACACTTAGCAAACACTTAGTCGAGTTTGGCGGATTTTTGAAAATCAGAGCACTGGCCTTTCTGTAGGTCTGTAACCAATCCTGGTTTGTCTGAATTTTCTGAAGATCACTGAAAGTAGCTCAGTAATCCCATTTACTAGATTTTTCAGTACCTTAGTTTGTAGTTCTGAACTAGGTGACTTGGATTTACTAAAGGCAGTCACTCAGTTATATGAAATATTACTATTTTCTTTTTATTTAGTTGTTTTTTAGTTGTGTCCAACCCCAAATGGGCCAGAAACAAACTTATTCATTAAATTAATGAATTCTTATTCATTAAATTATTGTAAGCATCTCTGCTAAGAGAGAGAGAAAATCCAAAGGGACAAAGATCTCTGCTGTCTTTGAAAATCTCTCTACCCCAGTCATTTCTGAGTTACAATTTATGGGGTTCAAGAACAAGGACATCGTTCTATAATCAAAATCAAACAGAAGAATAAAGTCTAGATAATAATCCTGAATCACCAGGCCTTAACTTTTGGATGTACTCAGGAGAACCATTTCCCTAAAATCATTCTATCTCTCTCTACTTCATCAAGGATCAAGAGTTCTTAACATTTTTGGTGTCGTATATCCTTTTGGCAGACTGGTGGAGTGTTCATTCAATTCTATTACGGTTTATAACCCCATTTGGGGTTTTCTTGGCAAAGATACTGGAGTGGTTTGCCATTTCCTTCTCTAGCTTATTTTATAGATGAGGAAACTGAGGCAAGCAGAGTAAAGTGACTTGCCCAGGATCACACAGCTAATAAGTGTCTGAGGCCAGATTTGACTTCAGATTGTCCTGACTCTAGGGCCAGCACTCTATCCACCGTGCCACCTAGCCTTACCACCTTGCCTCCCACCTTTTCTAGTTATTTGGGGTTTGAGTTCTCTGTTGAGTATTCTTCTAATGTCCCAGTCAGTCTTCACAGACAAAACAGATGCAAGCAAGATTGAATAATTTTTATTTTTCTCCATCATCTTCTAATTTCTCCCAAGCAAGGGGTCTTTTCCTTGTTTCATGAAACTTTTGTATCTAACACAACTTTAAACATTTTTATTAATATTCTTATTCATTTAACCTTTGTTTCTAAATAGATCCCTCTCCACTCCCCTAAAGAACAAGCTTTCCCCTATAACAAAGAATTATTAAGAGAGAAAGAAGAAAACAGTTCAGAAAAACCAACCAATGTATTAACTGAATCTGATAGTACATGCTGTGTTCCATACCTATCGTCCCTCCCTCTGGAAAGAGGAAGGAAGATGCATTTTCACATCTCTTCTCCCAGGTCAACTTTGCTCATTATAATTACATAACATTCAGGATTTTTGTTGCTGTCATTGTTCTATTTACATGACTGTAGTCATTATTAATGCTGTTTTTCTTATACTCTCTAAGTTCATATGAGTCTTCCCAACCTTCTCTTTTATTATTCATATCAATAATTTCTTCTATTTCATTACCTTTGTGTCATATAGTTTGTTCAGTGATTCCCTAATCATTAAGTATCTACTTGGTTTTCAGTTCTTTGCTACCACAGAAAGTATCACTGACTTTATGTTTAATCTCCCTGAGATATACGCCTAGCAATGGATAACTGAGTCAGATGGTAAAGACATTTAAGTCATTTTTATAGGATAACTCCAAATGGCTTTCTGGAATGGTTAAATCAATTCATGGCTTGACCAAGTGTCTTAGTGAATCGACCTTTCTGCCGCCCCTCCAACATTATTTCCATCTTTTGTAATCTTTGCCAATTTGCTGAGTAAAACCTCAGAGTTGCTTTGATTTTCATTCCTCTCATTGTTTAGTGGCTTGGAGAAACCTTTTATATGGTTCTTAATAGTTTGCAGTTCTTTTGAAAAGAATCTATTCATATCCTTTGACTACTTTTCTACTGAGGAATGGCTCTGGGTCTCATATATTTGCCCACCAACTTTTTAAAAGCTCCTTTTTTGTATTTGATGCTTACTATCATCAATATTTAGCAAATTCTTCATGTAGAATTTATGAAAGAATATGGACCAGAATTTCATAGGATGAAGAGACATGGCTAGCTTGCAACCTACACTCATAATTATGAGATCCTGAATACATTAAATTATCAAAGTGAAGTAGGTTATAAACCATAATAGAATTGAGTGAGCACTGAACCTGAATTCCATCTCCAAGACTTACTGGCTTTGTTTGTTTTTTTGTTGTGTTTTGTTTTGTTTTTGTGTTTTGTTTTGGTGAAGCAATGGAGGTTAAGTGACTTGCCCAGGTTCACACAGTTAGGAATTGTCACCTCCTAGCTGCCCCAACCTACTAGCTTTGTGACAATAAGCAAAGCATATAACCTCTTCTTAAGTCTCAGTTTTATCTGTAAAATGGAGAAAATAGAAGGGTTACTATGAGGAAAGTACTTTGTAAACTTTGTCATGCAATATGAAATGAACTATTCTTATTATTACTGAGTTTTAACCTTCCTGACACCATTTTCATAGGACTTTGGAGAATAAGTTTAATCTGAGTCACTCTAGGCTAAACCCAGGCAACCTCATGGCCTGAACCTGAGGCATGAGCCCATTGGAGAGTTTTCTAAACTCTTAAAAGATCTGAGACTGACCTGACAATCTCAGCAGACTTGGTAGCAGAAATGGCCAAGCCTCAGAACTAGCACTCAGCATTCATGCCCTCAGTCAGACCTGAACTAGATTTAATTATGCAGTGAACCCAATCAGAACTGTCCATCAGTAGACACAAATCTCATCTGTATGGATCTGATTAGAAGATATGTTCTTGTCCTAGAATAATTATGCCCCCAGACTATCCTGGTTCTTGTCTTTTTATAACATTGCCCATTCCCATAGGTGTTAGCCCAGATAGAAGTCATCTCATCCAATCCCATTATTTTATACCTTGACTGGAGATGAATTCTCTAACCCCTGTTCAGAAAAGACAAGGTCCTGTATGCCTTGAGGAGGGATAGGGCCAAGGGCAGCTCTGACAATGGGCCTCCACCTCCCAGGTGATCATGATAACTGGGGATCACCCTATCACTGCCAAAGCCATCGCCAAAGGTGTCGGAATAATCTCTGAGAACAGCGAGACTGTGGAGGATATTGCTTCCCGGCTACATATCTCTGTCAACCAGGTGGAGGCTAGGTGAGGCCCCCAGATTCCCCAGTTCATGTCCTTCATCCTTTTACTCTATCCCAGAAGTTCCCACCACCCCGATCTCCTGGGAGGCACCCAACAGATAAGATTTACCAATTTTATACACGTTCGTAAACGTCATACAATAGGGAAATGCCTCCATATTGGGGAAGACTTGAAGAAGAGGAAGAGGGATAGAAGAATAAGAAATTGGATTAGGAAAGGTCATTAGTGTGATGGGAAACTATGAGATTCCTGAATGGGGAAAGTGAGAAAAGGGATGTGAAGACCTAAGGACTATAAAACAAAGTGTGAAGACTTACAGGCTGTAAAATAAGGGGGATAACTTCAAAAAGTCTCTTCCAGTTCTCAATTCTACAATCCCGTGATTACACATAAGGATAGTATGTTTAGGGACATTCAGGAGTTTGGTTGGACAGAAGCAAAGAACTCTTAGTCTCCTAGGAAAATCCTGCTTGGGAACTCCCGTACCTCCAGCCCCCAGAACTCACCTGAGAGGATCCTTCTCCCCACAGCAATGCAAAAGCCTGTGTGGTTCATGGCTCACAACTAAAGGACATGTCACAAGAGGAGCTAGACACTATCCTCAAAGAACACTCTGAGATCGTCTTTGCCCGAACTTCGCCTCAGCAAAAGCTCATCATTGTGGAAGGATGTCAGAGACAGGTGCAGGGAGAAAAGCAAGGGGGCCTTTCAGAGACAGATGAGAGTAGACCAGAATACTTTATCTCTGGTCACAATATCACTTTTAAGGTCATGGAATCACTGTACTAAGACATTACGTGGCCTAGGTTCTGGTACTAGTTTCGCCTCTATCTAGCTATGTGACTGTGGGTAAATCAGACTCTCTGGGTCTCACCTATAAAATGGGGGGGGGGGGCGGGGAGTGGTATGGGATAATCTCTCAGATCCTTTCCAGTCCTAAGGTTCTGTCATTCTAGATTTGAAGTGGATAGACAGAGGAGTTGATGCAGCACTAGGTCCCTCGCTCTTATGTCCACTAAAAGCTAATGTGGTTCCAACTAAGTTCAAGGCCAAGAACAAGAGTGAACTAGACCAGAGGACCCTGAAGTGGGCTCAGTTTGGGGAAAGGGATGGGTTGCAGGAGACTCCAGTCCAGTAAGGGAGATAAAGACCAATTCCTACCCTACAACAGGACAAAGGGAGCCCTGTAATCATCATGGTGTCTGTGGGCTAGTCCAGGTCGAGGGCCCTGGATTAGCTCACAGCCTCGGTTTATACCTCTGACTCCCACCCAGGGTGCCATTGTGGCGGTGACCGGTGACGGGGTGAATGATTCTCCTGCACTGAAAAAGGCTGACATTGGCATTGCCATGGGGATATCTGGCTCTGATGTCTCCAAGCAGGCAGCTGACATGATCCTTCTGGATGACAATTTTGCCTCCATTGTCACTGGTGTGGAGGAAGGTGAGGGACAGAAACAGGGTCAGTGCACCTGTGACTTATCTTTTTCACTTCAATAGGGCTGAGATGTCCAAAGTTATCTCTGTCACCCCACTTTTTCATTCCCTTCTAGCAGTCTCCACCGTCAACCTCCACCCCAGTCTAGCAGATTTATAGTGAGGCTAATATGGCAACTTAGATCCATCTGGTACTCCATCTGGGATTCTCCTCCCAACAGCATGAAGGACCAGATTGGTCTCCGGGAGCTAATGTTATGGCCCTTTCATGACTGAATTCAAATTAGTATAGGACTGGTCCACAGATTTATAGCACTCCACAAAAGACCAAGAAACCCTAAAACCAGCCCATCATTTAAGTAATGGATTCCTGAAGGATCATGACACACCAAGATCTAATGAATCCTGAGCCCCAAAGTTTATCTACACGAACCAAAGTGAACACCCCCATTTCCTGGGAAACCTTGATGGGCATTGGATGAGAACTCAAGAATTCCACCTAGCAGTTTCCATGGCTTTTCCCCCAACACCTCTTCTTCCTGCCTAGCCTCCTCCCCTATAATCTTCCTGATATCTCAGGTACATCCCCACAGGTCGACTCATCTTTGACAATCTGAAGAAGTCCATCGCCTATACCCTGACCAGCAATATTCCTGAGATAAGCCCTTTCTTGCTCTTCATCATCTTAAATATACCCCTGCCTCTGGGTACTATCACCATTCTCTGCATTGACCTGGGTACTGATATGGTGAGAATCCAGCTGGAACCAAGGGAAGGGCACCTTCAATCAGAAGGGAAGGGGTATGGGGAACATCTGTAGGGAGGGAAAGGGGCGAAGCTTAGGTAATTTGAGTTTCCTTCTGAGCCTTGTGTCACCTCTTCCCCTAGGTCCCTGCAATCTCCTTGGCCTATGAGACAGCAGAGAGTGACATAATGAAGCGTGTGCCTCGGGACCCCAAGAAAGACAAGCTGGTGAATCAACGACTCATCAGCATGGCCTATGGACAAATTGGTGTGGCTCTGGGAGACAAAATGGGGTCAGGTGGTGAATAGGGAAGAGCCAAAGGGAAGGGAGGATGGAAAGGGAATAAACATTTATATAGTGCATACTCTACTATGTAATCAGCAATGTGCTAAGCACTTGTTACAAATATTATCTCATTTGATCTTCACAACAGCCCTGGGAAGTAGATGCCATTAACTATCCCCATTTTATAGATAAGGAAACTAAAGCAAACAGAAGCTAAGTGACTTGCCCAGGATCTTACAGCTAGTTAAGTGTCTGAGGCCAGATTTGAATTCAGATCTTCTTGACTCCAGGTTCAGCTCTCTAGCCAGTTTTTCTGAGCTGTCCAAGTGTGGATATCTGGGGTGGGGTGTCATTCTCCTTTTCAATAAATATATTTAATAAACAAATATATTTCAATAAATATAATTAAGTGGGTCACTAAGCACTAAGCACTGGTGGTAGAGGGGATTCTGAGTCATGGCCCCTGCTCATGAAAAATTTATAATCTAGTTGGAGATGTGATCCCTGTACACCAACAATGTAAACAACAATATAAGTCAGTATGTGGTAAAGGCTCCACGAGTGGTACAAACAATAAATGCCTTGAAGGTGCAAGGAAGAAACCAACTACCCAGGACAGCTGGTAGAGAAGAGAGGAGGAAGAACTTGAACGATGCCTGGGAGATAGGGTAGGACCCAGATGAGTGGAAAGGAGAGGAGAGGAGAGGAAAGAGCCAATCCAGGGTGTGGGGCTGGGTTCAGGCAGCAAGCACGGAAACACCGACTGTGTGCCAGGCGCAGAGGCAACAAATCACAGACAGTTAGTTCTTGGAGGAACACGAGGGTTTGTGAAGGGGCAGCCAACAGGAGAAAAGGTTGGACTAAGATGAGAGCCAGTTTATGGGAGGTCTTTAATGCCCGATTAAGGAGTTTCAACTTCACCCAATAGGAAATGGGAAGCAATTCTGTTTTGCATCTGGACAGTAGTAGCATTTTAGGAAGAATAGTCTTGGGATAATGTGCGTGATGGATTGTAGGAGGGGTGAAGAGACTGAAAGAGGGAAAACTATAGGAAGCTACCTTAATAATTAAGTCAAGTTTGAGGTAATGGAAAGGGGAGACACTGTGCAGAAAGTTTCAGTGGGACTTTGGTGACTGACTAAATGTGGGAAGATAGGGAGAAATTGAGGCTAAAATCTAGGTAGAAGTTAGGGATGAACTACAGATTGAAGAATCATTCACATTGAGGGAATAGTGGACCCTGCAAGAACTGAAGAAGCTTCTGAATCTTCCACATTTCCCTGGAGTAAACACCAAAGTAACTGGCATGCAGGGTCCCTGATTTCTATGCTTTTTCCTAGTGTCCTCTGTCTAGACTCTGTCTTGCTTCCTTCTCTGACCAAGCCCCACCTCCTTTTCCTCTAATTTCCCACAGGGATGATGCAGACCATAGCTGGCTTCTTCACTTACTTTGTGATCCTAGCAGAGAATGGTTTCTGGCCCTCACAGCTGCTGGGCATCAGGATTTATTGGGATGATTTTTCTGTGAATGACCTGGAAGATTGTTATGGACAGCAGTGGGTGAGTGAACTGGGAACAATGGTGGAGAGGACTGAAGAGAGTCCTAATGACAGGATAGGAGTGGGAGAATAAAGGGATTGAGATCGGTAGGAATAACTTCTTGCCTCCATTGCCTTCCATCCAACTGACCTCAACCCCAAGTACATTTCTATAATATTCTTCTATTGTTTCCAATGAACTCCTCTATACCAATGCCAACTGTTTGTTCTCTGCTCTAGTTCTGTTGCGGCTATCTGTTCCCTTGGGTCCAGGAGCCCCCATCTCTCTCCCCTTTGTCACTGGAGGTAATCTCTGCTGACTCTTTCCCCTTTAGCTTCCAGCCAAGACTCCAGGGACCAGCACTAGAACCCCCTCATCTCCTTGTGCTTCCTTCCTTTGAAATCCATCTGCTTCTTCTCTCGGCATCAGATACCACAAGATAACAATTCCACCGTAATATGTCCAGCCTCTCAGGATCCCAACCTTCTCATCCCCAATTCTGAATTTCTCAGAATCTAAAGGATGCCTCTCCATAGGAGCCACCCATCAACTGAAACTCAGTAGAATTAGAACAGTCACCACCCCATTCTATGTGTATGGGAGATATGTACACACACACATACACACACACACACATACACACACACACACATTTTAATGTTTGTACATATTTGCATGTCTGGGCACTTTGCTTTGACACTCTGTGCCAGGGATATCCTCCTTTATTAATTTGAATTCTCTTCTTCTTCCTCAAAGAGCTACATGACATATATTTACTTTACAAATTAAAGGGAAAATAGTTAATTTTATTTAAGGAATTTCTTAGCAAACCACCTCCCCCCACTTCAGATAATTAGAGATGCCCTATAAAGTCCTAAAACTAGAATTAGGAATCCTGTACCATACTTCTGTAATCCTTGTGTAGGTGGGCATAAAGCTGCTCACCTTTGGAGTATCCTAGAGGTATTTGTTTAGGTGAGACCAACTCACTCCTTCCCGCCTCCTCTCTAACCCAACCCTGCCTTCTGATTCCACTCTCTTCTCAGACTCTATCACCTGCTCTACCTTGACTCTACCCTATGACTTCACTGTCCCTCCTGATCTTGACCTTTGCTGTGCCCTCTTCCCAGACCTATGAGCAGCGGAAGGTGGTAGAGTTCACATGCCATACAGCCTTCTTCATCAGCATTGTAGAGGTGCAATGGGCTGACCTCATCATCTGCAAGACCCGTCGAAACTCTATCATCCACCAGGGCATGAAGTGAGCTTCCCATTACACAAGAATTCCAAGCCTCCATAGCCCTCTATCAACAGAGCTGGCCTCTGAGTTGCACAGAAGGGGCACCTCTCAGGATGTTCTTGGCCTATTCCACCTGGACAGCCTAACTCTGAATTTCCCCTCTCATACCTCCTATCCCTCTTGCCCACTCTTCTTTCCATTCCTACATCACAGCCCTGCACTTTTCCTTTCTAGGAACAAGGTCTTAATCTTTGGGCTATTTGAAGAGACATTACTGGCAGCCTTTCTGTCCTACTGCCCAGGCATGGATATTGCCCTTCGCATGTACCCACTCAAGTGAGTATTGAAGGTAGGGTGGAAGGGAAACTTTTGGGCCACCCATGGACCCTACTCTAAGCCAGGAAGATAAGTTCAAGTTTCTGTTCTCTGACACATCCTGGCTTGACTCTTAAGTTGCAGAGGCAGTACCAACCTACATTGATAGAAAGGCATTCCTTCCCTGGGAGTTCTCTAGACCAATGAAATCACAGATTCAATCTCTATCTCTATCCGCACTATACGACAGGTACTATTCTAAGCAATGGGGATTAAAAAAACCATAACCATAAAACAATCTTTGCCCTCAAGTAGGACATCAGGTTTTATCTCAGAAACAACATGTATATACAAATATATATGTATATTTAAATTATTTAAACATATATGTATAAATGTATACATATAAGTATATACAAAGTCAATATAAGGCAGTTTTGGCATGAGAGAACATGTACCCAAAAAACATGTGTTCACATACAGCCTACAGTCATCAGCCAGGATAGTCCAGGGGTCAGGGGATCAGTGGTCAGGAAGCAGCTCATATCTGGCCTCTGAGTGGGGCTGACCCAGGAACACAGAGGCTGTGGCCAGGAGTGTGCTCAGGTGCCAGCACACCGAGGGCACAGACCTATTTGGCAAGAATACTGGATCTGGAGTCAGAGAACCTAGGTTCAAATGCAAGTACTATAGAGTGCCTTAAGATTTGCAAAGTATATTACATGGATTATCTCATTTGATCCTCAAAACAAGTCCTTTAAGGTAGATACTACAAATATTATCATCCCTATTTTACAGATGAGGCAACTCAGACTCAGAAACGTTAGGTGACCGGCGCATGGTCACACAGCTAGTGTCAGAAGTAGGGTTTGAACGCTCGTCTCTCCAAATCTAGCCTCCTTTCCATTATTCCACGTTCCTTCTTTTAGTATAAGTCTAGCGGGTTAGCACGGAAACAAACAAGGAAGGAATCCCACCTTCTACAGGAAGTTTTCTCCAACCCTTCTTAATTCTAGCGCTCTCCCTCTTTTAATTATTTCCTATTTATCTGGCATAAAGCTTGCTTTATATATATATTTGTTTGCATGTTGTCTCCCCCATTAAACTGTGAGCTCCTTGAGGGCAGGAACTGTCTTTTGCCTTTTTTTATCCCCAGCACTTAGTGCAGTGCCTGGCACATGTTGTTGTTCAGTTGTGTCTTGATTCTTCATGACCCCATTTGGGGTTTTCTTGGCAAAGACACTGGAGTGGTTTGCCATTTCCTTCTCCAGCTCATTTTACAGATGAGGAAACTGAGGTAGACAGAAGTTAAGTAATTTGCCCAAGGTCACACAGCTGGTAAGTGTCTGAGGCCAGATTTGAACTCAAGAAGGTGAGTGTTCCTGACTCCAGACCTGGCACTTTATCCACTGCTCAATCTAGCTGCCCCCTTTGTGATCCTGGCTTAGCATATTGCAGCACAGAACTCTTAAGCTGAAGCAATCCACCAGCCTTCGTCTTCCTGGTGGCAGAGATTACAGGCATGCATTACCACACTCTGCTCTGTTAACTTTCAATGAATTGTGTGAGTATAATGATATAGCATGCTGCAGGATATCATTTTCAAAAACTTTATATCTTTTTTCAATCAGCAAAAATTACCTTCTCTCGGGGCAGCTAGGTGGCAGTG